ATATGCCATGCCATGCCATGCGCCATGCCATGCGCCATGCCATGCCATGTGCCATGCCATGTGCCATGCCATGCGCCATGCCATGTGCCATGCCATGCCATGTGCCATGCCATGTGCCATGCCATGCCATGCGCCATGCCATGCCATGCATGCCATGCCATGGCATGCGCCATGCCATGTCATGCGCCATGCCATGTCATGCGCCATGCCATGTCATGCGCCATGCCATGTCATGCGCCATGCCATGCCATGCCACGTCATGTCATGTGCCATGCCATGTGCCATGCCATTCCATGCGCCATGCCATGCTTACCTCCGGCCGCGACAAGTACACCATGAGGGCCGTCTTGAGGTCGATAGCACGCCTCAGCATGTCATAGGTGGAGCCCCAACGAGTGGGTGTGTCAGTCATGAGTCGCAGCACCCCCACGCTTGGGCTGTCCGCAACTCAGAGCTGGTCCTCCTCGAAGCAGACCACCCAACATGCGTAGCGTGGTCCCTCGGACGCTTCAGCGGCTCGGTGACCGCCCCCACTGCTAGTGCCCGTTGAACCGCCAGGTTCAAGATGTGCGCAAGGCACCTGTGGGAATGGGGGGGACAGGGGGGGGCGGAGGGGGGGTAGGAGGAGGGGCGAAGGGCCGAGCGATCACGGGTCCACTCAAGTTCAGATGTGCACGACACAAGCCCGCATGTAAGAGGCACCAGATAGAGTGGAAGCGTATGCAAGGAGTTCTCTTTCTAGCGCATTACCTGAAGTGCATGTTCTTCTGCAGGACTGCATTGGTGGTGCGGGCCCTCGGGTATGTCTTGTCGCCCGCCAGGATCTTGAAGGCCTGGGGCTGGTCCATATGTCAGTTGTGAAGGAAACCTTCCCTGCTGCCCCGTCTCCAGCCATCTCCTGCTGCAGCCACTCGCGTGCAGCATTCCCATGCGTCAGCATGTCCCGCGCCAGTCGAAAACGACTGCCGAGCATGCCGGCAACCTGTGGGTTCAGCAGCGAGCAGAACCGATGGAACTGTGGGTGGGATGGGTATGGAAAGGCGGAGAGGACAGCAATGATTGAGCCATTGGATGGGTTGCAGACAATGACCACAACACAACAAGTGTAGGCCAGCAAGCACTAGGAACTCTCCAATCCAAGCAGTCAAGGGCTTACCGAAGGGCGCTCGACATACCCTGCATGAGGCCTGGAGTCCTCGCCCCAGTGCCTTCCTCCTCGACCTCCTCCACCTCCTCCTCCTCCTCCTCCTCCTCCTCCTCCACCACCCCTCTAGCGCGCTTGCTCCGCGCCCCACCAGCCCCTGCAGTTCCCCCTCCGCAACCCCTAGCACGCAGCGGAACCTCCCCCCCTCGCCCCCGAGCCCTACCTCCCGTCCCCTCCCCGCTCACTGCTTCACCACGCTCGCCATTCTCTTCAGACCCACCCCGCGCTCTTCCCCGACTCTTGCCGCGATTGCCTCTCTGGCTACCCCTATCTCCACCGTCCAAGCCCCCAGCAGCGCCCGTCTTCAAGGCGTCTCCCCCCTCAGCACCCCCAACCACACCCGGCTGCCCTCTGCCCTCCCCCTCTGCTGCGCCTGCTGGTGCGTCTGCCGCCTCCCCTCGACGCCCGCCCCTCTCCCACGCCCACCCCTAAACCCTTCCCACTCTTCTTCCCCCTCCCCGTCTTTCCCTCACGCCCTCCATCATCCCCTGACTCATCATCCTCTAGCTCCTCATCCGGGACATATTCCGTGTCCTCGCCACGCCTTCCGCCCTTCGCCCCTGCGGTGGGTTCCGGGATTCGGTTCCTCTCCCACCCCTCGTCGTCCATACTGAACTCCTGGTGCCACACACCTTCCCACTCGTTGCCGGCGGCGTTGATGGAGCCAAGGGCAAAGCTCTGAGCCAAGGGGCAAAGCTCTGAGCCAAGGGCAAAGCTCTGAGCCAAGGGCAAAGCTCTGAGCCAAGGGCAAAGCTCTGAGCCAAGGCAAAGCTCTGAGCCAAGGGCAAAGCTCTGAGCCAAGGGCAAAGCTCTGAGCCAAGGGCAAAGCTCTGAGCCAAGGGCAAAGCTCTGAGCCAAGGGCAAAGCTCTGAGCCAAGGGCAAAGCTCTGAGCCAAGGGCAAAGCTCTGAGCCAAGGGCAAAGCTCTGAGCCAAGGGCAAGCCTAAGGCAAAGCTCTGAGCCAAGGGCAAAGCTCTGAGCCAAGGGGCTCTGAGCCAGCAAAGCTCTGAGCCAAGGGCAAAGCTCTGAGCCAAGGGCAAAGCTCTGAGCCAAGGGCAAAGCTCTGAGCCAAGGGCAAAGCTCTGAGCCAAGGGCAAAGCTCTGAGCCAAGGGCAAAGCTCTGAGCCAAGGGCAAAGCTCTGAGCCAAGGGCAAAGCTCTGAGCCAAGGGCAAAGCTCTGAGCCAAGGGCAAAGCTCTGAGCCAAGGGCAAAGCTCTGAGCCAAGGGCAAAGCTCTGAGCCAAGGGCAAAGCTCTGAGCCAAGGGCAAAGCTCTGAGCCAAGGGCAAAGCTCTGAGCCAAGGGCAAAGCTCTGAGCCAAGGGCAAAGCTCTGAGCCAAGGCAAAGCTCTGAGCAAGGGCAAGCTCTGAGCCAAGGGCAAAGCTCTGAGCCAAGGGCAAAGCTCTGAGCCAAGGGCAAAGCTCTGAGCCAAGGGCAAAGCTCTGAGCCAAGGGCAAAGCTCTGAGCCAAGGGCAAAGCTCTGAGCCAAGGGCAAAGCTCTGAGCCAAGGCAAAGCTCTGAGCCAAGGGCAAAGCTCTGAGCCAAGGGCAAAGCTCTGAGCCAAGGGCAAAGCTCTGAGCCAAGGGCAAAGCTCTGAGCCAAGGGCAAAGCTCTGAGCCAAGGGCAAAGCTCTGAGCCAAGGGCAAAGCTCTGAGCCAAGGGCAAAAGCTCTGAGCAAGGGCAAAGCTCTGAGCCAAGGGCAAAGCTCTGAGCCAAGGGCAAAGCTCTGAGCCAAGGGCAAAGCTCTGAGCCAAGGCAAAGCTGAGCCAAGCAAAGCTCTGAGCCAAGGGCAAAGCTCTGAGCCAAGGGCAAAGCTCTGAGCCAAGGGCAAAGCTCTGAGCCAAGGGCAAAGCTCTGAGCCAAGGGCAAAGCTCTGAGCCAAGGGCAAAGCTCTGAGCCAAGGGCAAAAGCTCTGAGCCAAGGGCAAAGCTCTGAGCCAAGGGCAAAGCTCTGAGCCAAGGGCAAAGCTCTGAGCCAAGGGCAAAGCTCTGAGCCAAGGGCAAAGCTCTGAGCCAAGGGCAAAGCTCTGAGCCAAGGGCAAAGCTCTGAGCCAAGGGCAAAGCTCTGAGCCAAGGGCAAAGCTCTGAGCCAAGGGCAAAGCTCTGAGCCAAGGGCAAAGCTCTGAGCCAAGGGCAAAGCTCTGAGCCAAGGGCAAAGCTCTGAGCCAAGGGCAAAGCTCTGAGCCAAGGGCAAAGCTCTGAGCCAAGGGCAAAGCTCTGAGCCAAGGGCAAAGCTCTGAGCCAAGGGCAAAGCTCTGAGCCAAGGGCAAAGCTCTGAGCCAAGGGCAAAGCTCTGAGCCAAGGGCAAAGCTCTGAGCCAAGGGCAAAGCTCTGAGCCAAGGGCAAAGCTCTGAGCCAAGGGCAAAGCTCTGAGCCAAGGGCAAAGCTCTGAGCCAAGGGCAAAGCTCTGAGCCAAGGGCAAAGCTCTGAGCCAAGGGCAAAGCTCTGAGCCAAGCCAAGGGCAAAGCTCTGAGCCAAGGGCAAAGCTCTGAGCCAAGGGCAAAGCTCTGAGCCAAGGGCAAAGCTCTGAGCCAAGGCAAAGCTCTGAGCAAGGCAAAGCTCTGAGCCAAGGGCAAAGCTCTGAGCCAAGGGCAAAGCTCTGAGCCAAGGGCAAAGCTCTGAGCCAAGGGCAAAGCTCTGAGCCAAGGGCAAAGCTCTGAGGCGCACCGCGACAGGCACAAGGGCAAGGGACATCCCGGGCAGCGCCGCACTTTCAACGCCCGTATGCAGCGACCCGGCTCCCGTGCTGTGTCCCGCTGGTCCGCCTTCTCCCCCCTCGGTCCGCCCTCTGCCGCTGTTGCTGAGACCGCCGTCCATATCGCCTCCTCAACCCTCAACCCTAATCGGCCCAATGTCCACTCGCGCGCAAAACGACTCGGTAAAAGGTGTGGATGGCTGCACTACGAAATGTAGCCGCGGATTTTCTGCGTTTGCTGTGTGGGGTAGTGCCCAACTCAAAACGAAACTATGTAATGGGTTAACCGCTGCAAACCTCGATCCTTAGCCTTTGGTAGTGTGCGCTAGGTATCAGAGGGCGAGATCCACCTATTCTGGACCCACCCTACTTGCGAAAGACTAAAACATTCGCTCCCTTACTGTCCTACGCGTGAAATTTCAAACAGCAACGAAATGCGGCCCGTTCCACCTTGAAAATGAAGTTCCTTCCCTCAATTTCCCGTTTCTGCCTAAGGAAGAGAAGGACCAGCTAAAACTAGAAAACTAACCATTAGGAAACCGTGTTTGCTAGATAGGAAGGAGCCATAGACTAGGTCGAAACTGTACGATGTACTTTCTCGTTGGAATTTCGACCTTATGGTCGAAATTTCGCGATCTCCGTGGCTGGTCGCACAAATCGCGTCGGGTCAAGGCGTGACCCGACATCGGGTCGGGTCGGGTCGGGTCAACCCGACGACGAATACCCGACGTCGGGTCGGGTCAACCCGACATATCGGGTGGAACCCGAACCTGGGCATGTCGGGTTCGGGTTGACCCAACCCGTCGGGAAAAAATCAAACCCGACGGGTCGGGTTCTACCTACGAGAACCTGAACACGACCTGTCAAAAAGTCGGGTTCAGTTGCTCAAGCCCACCTGGCAGGTCATCTCACCTGGCGGGTCATCTCACCTGGCGGGTCATCTCACCTGGCGGGTCATCTCACCTGGCGAGTCATCTCACCTGGCGGGTCATCTCGCCTGGCGGGTCATCATCTCACCTGGCGGGTCATCTCACCTGGCGGGTCATCCCACCTGGCGGGTCATCCCACCTGGCGGCGGGTCATCCCACCTGGCGGGTCATCCCACCTGGCGGGTCATCTTTGCTGAACTCCTCCATCTGCCTCAACTCCTCCTCGCTCACCTCGCCCTCCTCCCCATCCTCCTCCGCCCCCTCTCCATCCCCCCCTGCCCCTCTCTTGCCCTCGTTCGCCTGCCCTCCCCCGCCCCCCATCGCTTGCTCCAAGTCCGCTGCCTCCTCCCCCCCTTCACCGTCAACATCGTCATCCCTGTCCCCGTCCTCCTCGTCCACTTTATCATAGTCCCCATCCTCGTTATCAGCATCCTCCTTGTACTCGTGCTCGTCACTGCCACTGTAGTCACGGTCGCCATCGCCATCGCCATCATCGTCATCATGCACCGCGTCCAGATCAGCATAGCCCACATCATGGGGCGAGCTGTCCTCGCCATCCATGCCGTGCCCGCCATGCTGCTCTCCCCCGTGCTTCACACCATGCCCGCCGTGCCCTCCATCGCTGCCCTCGTGCTGCTCGCCTCCCTCCCCCCCTCCCGTCCATCTGGATGCAATCCGCCTGCCCATCTCCTCCTTCGACAGACCCGATAACTCCTCCTCTGCTCCTCCCTCCCCCCTTTCTGCTCCCTCCTCCCTTTGCCCCCTCTCCTCACTCCCTGCACCCGCCCCATCACCACCAGGTGCAACACCCCCCTCCACACCGCCACTGCTGCTGTCAGCACCAGCAGCACCATCAGCACCAGCAGCACCATCAGCACCAGCAGCACCATCAGCACCAGCAGCACCATCAGCACCAGCAGCACCAGCAGCACCAGCAGCACCATCAGCACCAGCAGCACCAGCAGCACCAGCAGCACCAGCAGCACCAGCAGCACCAGCAGCACCAGCAGCACCAGCAGCACCAGCAGCACCAGCAGCACCAGCAGCACCAGCAGCACCAGCAGCACCAGCAGCACCATCAGCACCAGCAGCACCAGCAGCACCAGCAGCACCAGCAGCACCAGCAGCACCAGCAGCACCAGCAGCACCAGCAGCACCAGCAGCACCAGCAGCACTGTTCATGAGCGCCTCAGCCTGCGCTGCGACTGCCTCTGCTTCACCAGCGCCACTCTCCCCACCACCATCCCCTCCACCCCCCCCACCTGCACCTGTCCTGCCCGCCCTCCCCTGGCCCACCAGCGCATCTCGCGCGCGCTGCTCCCTCTCCAGCCGCGCCCGCCACGCCTTCTCCCGCGCCTCCTGCTGCTCCAACGCCTCCTTGCGCGCTGCACGCTCGCACAGGGGATAGGGGACAGGGGACAGCGGCAGAGCAGGCAAGGTGGGGTGTGGCAGCTGAGATATGGTGGACCATGGACGGATGGGCGGTGGGATGGGGGTGGATGGGTGACGGACTGCAGAACGCAAGGCATCAAACAGAAATAGCGGAGAGCGGAAGGAAACCAGAGCAGCGAGAGCAACAAAGAGACAGCTATCAAAATGGGGAATACAGGGTGGTGGACTGGGGAGGGGAATGAGGGGAGGGTACGGCAGCGCTTGGATAAAAGCAGGAGGGAAGTGGTGAAAGCACAAGGTTCAACACATTACACAGAAAATCGTTCATATGCAACTCGGCTGAGATCGATATACGTGGGTCACAAACACGGACTTTTGTAAGTCCTACACAAGGGAATCTCCCAGCAGAGAGAGGTACACGAGGTTCAGTGACTCCCTCAACCGTGGCTCAGTGACTCCCTCAACCGTGGCTCAGTGACTCCCTCAACCGTGGCTCAGTGACTCCCTCAACCGTGGTTCAGTGACTCCCTCAACCGTGGCTCAGTGACTCCCTTCCCTTCTACAACGCTAACAGCGGCAGCGCCACAGTGGGACGGTAGCGGCCAGCTCCACCTCCTATCCCATAATGGCCTCATCCCTCTATGAGACAATAACATGAGGAGAGAGACAGTGACGTCAGCAGCAGAGGCAGCAGTGGCTGTAGGGGAAGCAGGCTGAGAGAAGAAAGGGAGCAGCGCTGCAGGGTGCAGGGCGCAGGGCGTTCGTCTGATGAGAATGTTTCCTCAGCGCGCTGCTGCCAGTAGGTAAGCACCCAAGCGTGCCCTAGTGGCCCTGCAGCAGCTTTGACCGCCGCCGCGCAGAGTGATGCTGCTGCTGCCCCCCAGGGGTGCTGTGAGTGCTGCGAGCGGCCGCCATGCATGGGCACAGGGAGCGCCAGACACAGCGCAGGCAGGCCAGGCAGACGAGGAGGGGTCGGCGGAGCAGAGAGCGCAAGGGGCGGTGGCAGAGGAGGAGGGCGAGCAGGGCGAGGAGGAGGAGCGACGGGGGCAGGGCGGCTGAAGCAGCGAGGGAGTGGATGTGGGCTGCGCCGCACACAGGTGGGCGGCGGCGGGCGATGGTGGTGAAGAGAGAGGACAAGGCAGCAGTGCGCAGGGGAGAAAACAAGAGGGGGGGGAGGGACGGGGGGTGGATTTGGGTGAGGGGCGGGGAGGGGGAGGACGGCAATGAAGGGCAGCTCGTATCACCCCTAGCGCGGGTCTATGCCTGCCTGCGACCACTAGAGCTCGTGGCAACAACAACGACCGGTCACCTCTGAGCGCCTTCTCCTGCTCCACCAGCTCTGCGCGGCGCTCCTCGATGTCCTTCACCTCGCGCTCCCACTTCTCCCGGTTCGCCACGTGCCCCACTATCGCCTTGCCCCGCAGCTTCACTCCCTCCCTCACCGCCGCCACGTCAGCTGCCAGCTGGCTGCGCGCCTCCGCACCCATCTGCACGCACGTGTCGTTGCAGCCCGCCCCGCTGGCGTACTCGTCCGACCCGTCGCAGCAGTCTACAGCCATGGAGGGGCGCACAGGGGGCAGCCATGGAGGGGCGCACAGGGGGTGGGAGGAGGGGGGATTGGTTGGCGGTTGGACCCTTGAGGGTGGAGCGCAAGGCGGCGGTGGTGCTGTGCACTCCGTGGTCCCACCCACCACCACGGGAAGCAGTGGGATGAGCTCGAGGTGGAGGGGATGGCAACAAGGCAAGGTGGAACCGCTGCACACAGTCATAGCGCACCTTGCAGTGGCCTTGTATGGCACGAGCATGCAGAGACACATGATAGGATGACAGCACTCCGCTGCACCACTCGCTGCACGTGCCATCACAGTGACCGCGTCCTGCCATCACAGTGACCGCGTCCTGCCATCACAGTGACCGCGTCCTGCCATCACAGTGACCGCGTCCTGCCATCACAGTGACCGCGTCCTGCCATCACAGTGACCGCGTCCTGCCTACCTACCAAGCAGCAACAGCAGCAGCGCTCACCGCAGATGCCGTCGTTGACTCGCGAGGAGAAGAGCGAGAGCGGCGTGTGCCCGCGATTGCGGCAGTAGAAGCGCGCGAGGGCGCAGGCCGACGTGCCTGAGGTGAGGAAGGGTTGGGGGGAAAGAGGGGGGGGATTAGGTAAGAAGAGGGAGCGTGTGGGGGGGGGGGAGAAGGCGATGGGAGAGATGGAAACTCGTGCGAGCAAGTCACCATCCATCTCACTCGCATTGGTACCTCAACACTCGCCAAACCCCAAACTCTCTCACCCGGCTTGTCCGCGCCATCATCAACCCACCCCGCTCGTCGGTGCCATCATCAACCCACCCGGCTCGTCGGTGCCATCAGCGCAATCGCAGAAGTCGTCGTTCACGCGGCTGGCTGCGATCCACCGCGACCCGTCGCGACACGCCACCGTGCTGCCGGAGAAGTGCGCCCAGTCTGACGCGCGCGAGGCGGGCGCATGCGACGCGGGCAGACGGACACGTGGAGAGGGAGGGAGGGGGCGGAAGCGGGGGGTGGGGGAGTGGGGAGAGATGAGGGCGAGCGACAAGGGGGGATCGAATCACGGCGGCGACGGCATGGGCGAGCAGAGGCAGCTGAGGCGCCGTCGCTCCGCTCATCGCCCTCGCCGGGCATTCCGCTCGCTGCCGCTCAGAGGGCTGCACGGACCCTCGCAGTGCCGTGGCGATGCGAGCTGCACCTAACAAGGCCATGAGATTAGGGCCCGCGCTGCTAATTCACTCATCGTCGGTCGCGACCTGGCAGCGCGCTGGACTTGCCTTGAGGCGCGACGCCGCGAATCGACGGGGGAGCGGACGCGAGCGAGGCGACGGCAAACGACCCCAACGCGACGACTGCCGCCGCGAATGCTCGCGAACGGCAGGCGAGGAGCCTTCGCGATGCGCGATCGTGTGCCATCGCGAGCAAGGCGAGTACTGCCACAGCCAGCTGCAGCGGCCGCGCGAATGTGTCGGTGCGAGTGAAATGCGAGCTGCGTTTCTCGTTGTGACAACCAGTGAGGATTGAGCTGAATTGAGGTGTGCTCCTCCTCGCCTGTGCTGGTCCTCCAGATGCTGCCGGCGGAGCTGGGGTGGGTGGAAGCGGAATTGTCACGAAGGGCTGCCTTGACAGTTACCAGCCCGGTGTACGCGCTGTAACGACTAGTGGGCATGATCAGGTTCTTATTTTTTCCTACAAACAAATAAACATCCCCCCACCATGCACATCACATGTGCTCTCAACGACTAACTGGAGTGAACACAATAGCTACCGCATGAATTTACCAAGGCCGCCATGGATCTCGCCGCTAAATTCTACGCCACCGTGTCCATCCATTCCTTGTCCAGTAACAATTATGTACCATCTCAGCCTACAACTTATGCAGATTCAGCGAGCATTGGGACTACTTATATCAGTACCAGTCCTAGTTTTCAGTCAACTCAAACAGAAATATAGAGGGACACCGAAATATAGAGGGGATAACAGAAATACATGAACTTTGACTTGCATGTGACACTCATTCATGTCTCTCAGTTTGGCATGGTATTATCGCTAGGTTAGGTCCTAGCCTCCGCGCTTCCGCCCTAGGTACTCCCCGCTCCCCTCACGCCCTAGCCTGACGCCCTAGCATGACGCCCTAGCATGTCGCCCTAGCCTGTCGCCCTAGCCCGCCTTTCGTACTGGCCACTGCCTGCGCGCTCCCACTGCCTGCTGCCGCTGGCCGCTGCCCTCTGCTCGCGCTGTCCGCTGCTTGCACTGCCCGCTGCTTGCTGCCCGTTGCGCACCGCCCTCTGCTCGCCGCCCGCTGCTCGCCCGCTGCCCGCCAGCTGCTTGCCCACTCGTGCGCGTGCGCAGCCGCCAGTGCAGCCGCCACAGCCCCCCGAGTAGTCGCTGCCGCCGCCCGCAGTCGCAGCCACAAGTGCAGCCGCCGCAGCATCCGCCGCCGCGGTCGCCACCACCGCCTCAGCCGCCAGAGCAATCGCCGCCACAGCCGCAGCTACAGCTGCCGGCGTCACCGCAGCTTCTGCCGCAGCCTCCAGCACCGCCGCTGCCGCCACAAGCACCGCCACTGTCAGTGCCGCAATTGCCAGTACCATAGACCACCTGCCTCCGGCGCCGTCGCTAGCCCTATTCAGGATCTGTTGCTGGACCTGCCCCTCGCCCTATCGCCGCCGCAGCCGTCGGATCCGTTGCCGTCCGCCGCCCACTTCCACACCACCCATATCCGGGTACGTGTGGTGTCTGGAGCTCCTGCTGACATGGCGGCCCCGTCGGCGTCGGTGTTCGTCCTTCGGCTGGACGACGAAGGCCGCGCCGTCGGCTTTACGGCCTGGCTGTCTGCTTCACGTCGGCAGCTGATGAGCCAGCGTATGGAGAGCGAGTCACTTGTGGCCCACCTAACTGGTGACCCCACCCCCACCCCACCCCACCCCGCCCTGATCCCCTTGGCCCTGAGGCGACGTCGGCGCAGCGTGCGGAGTACGCGGCTGCCAACCGCCCTCTCCATCTGGGAGTCTTGCAATGTCGCCGCGCATGTTGCCATGACTCGGTGCCTGCGGGTCGACGAGCACTCCCACTTTCAGTTGGAGGAGACAACACAGGCCCTCTGAGACGCGCTCGTCACCCGCTACACGACCTCGTCCTCCGCCACCCTCAATCGCCACTTCCTCCCATTCCTCTTCCCCTACCTGGCCTCTTTCCCCATGGTCGTGAACCTCATCTCGCACCTGCGCTCCCTTGAGGCCGGTTACCGTACGGCCTGCAACGCGGCCCAGCTCGCAGTGCACCATCCGCCCACTCACATCACTCTTTACCTCCTCACCACGCGCGATGCCATCCTCGCATTGCACCCCACTAACTCACTATAGACCTCTTCTCCACCTCCATGATATAGATAGAGACCTACGGTATTGTGGTGGCCCCTATCATTCAGGAGAGCCCTCCGCCCCAGCTCCCTTTCCCTGCTGCCTCTGCCTCTGTCGTTGAGACTACTACGGTGGTCACTGCACCCGGCCGCTCTGTTGGGTGCTCGCGACGCTCTCGTGGTCCTAGGGCATCAGCACCGGTGGGCGGTGGGGGTGCTGGCAAGGCCCTGGACACTGGAGGAGGGGAGGGAACGGAGGAGGAGGGGAAGCAACAGTAGCAGCAGCAATAGCAGCAGCCGCCGCCACAATAGCAGCGGTCGCAGCAGCAACAGCAGCGTAGTGGGGGCAGGTGGGCTCTGAGAGTGCTGGATGTGGTGCAGGCCATAGTGGTTGGGCCCTAAGGAAGTCGGTGCCCTGAGGTTCGTGTGGCTCCTCCGTGAGCTATGGGGGCATCGATTTTGGGTGTCCCGTGCACTGTGTGTATCAGATCTAGACCGGCCCCCTGCGCGGCACGGTCTGTGGGCGCAAGGTTCACACCGCCGCCCACTGCTTTCGCCACCTAGACGACCTATTCCGTGGCCACTTTGGGCTCGTGCCAGCCCTACCTGACTGCCTTGTCCTGCTCCACTGCGGCATCCCATTGTTTGAGATGGAGATGGCTCATATTGGCATTGCCATGTTTTCTATGTACTCTGATGATTATAGTGTTGCTAACTCATATTATCCTGCTGTGTATAGTCTAGGCTGCTGTGTGTAGTCCAAGTTCCTCTGCTATGTAAAATATTGCATCCCCTTTTGTTCCCCCACTGCGACGGCCCTCTCCTTCACACTCAACTATGGCGCCTCTCACTGCTTCTTCCGAGACAGCACTGCTCTCACACTACTCCGGCACCGGTACCGGTCTCCTTAGCAGACTCGCCTGCCACAGTCGGCGCCTGCAGCACCACGGCCCTCCCCTGCCCAGCTATCTCGTCCGGCTCCCTTACCGGCTTGCACATCCCCACATTTGCCCGGAACCTAGTTGGTGTTGGTCATATTCAGGACCTCAGTGTCACCACCACGTTTCTTGGCCACGCGCGGTCTACAACCTGTATGGACGCAGCCGTGACGCAGTGCCCGGTCTCTTCACACTGCACACGGATTCCCCCAAGGTAGCGGCGTCCACCCAGGTAGCCACGTCCTGTTCCTGTCGCTCTCTCACCCACCCGGCACTCCTGTGGCACCACCGATTAGTGCATCCCGCCCTCTCGCGTCCCGTCATATGGCACAGCACGGCCAGGTCACTGGTCTCCCCTTGCCGCTCCCTACCCTCCCTGCCTCGGTAGCCCCCGCGTGCACCTCCTGCGTCGAGGGCTGGCAGCGCGCCACCCGTCACTCCTCGTTTCTTCCGGGCTCCACTCCAAACCCTACACATGGACGTCTGGGGCCCTGCCCCGGTCCTTGGGCCACACAGGGAGCGCTACTTCTTGGTGGTCATTGACAGCTTCTCGCGCTACACCACGCTATTCCCGTTGGAGTGGAAGGCCGACGTGCTTGACGCCCTCCTCCCGTGGCTCCAAGTCATCCGCACCCCAGCACTCCCTGCCCATGCTCCACCTTCACTTTGGCCGTGGTGGCGAATTCGCCTCTGGCCGTCTTGGAGCGTTCTGCCGTGCCGAGGGCATCACCCAAGCATTCACCCTACCAGACTCGCCGCAGCAGAATGGGGTAGCTGAGCGGCACATCGGCCTGGTCATGGAGGTGGCCCACACCTCTATGGTCCATGCCGGTGCCCCCTATTTTCTTTGGCCGTTCGCAGTGCAGTACACGGCTCACCAGCTTAACATGTGGTCTCGCTCCTTGCGACCACAAGTTTCTTCTACCCTCCTCAGCACTGGGTCATGTGGTGATGCTTCTTCGTTCCACGTCTGGGCCTGCCTGACTCACGTCTGCGACACCAGCGCGGACAAGCTCTCGGCCTGCACCCTCCCTTGTGTCTTCCTTGGGTTCCCGCTCAATACTCCTGACTGGTTGTTCTACCACCCGGTGCAGCACCGCTTCTTTCGTTCCCGTGACGTTATGTTTGATGACTTTGTCTCCTTCTAGGCTCGTTTCCCTTACCGTGGCACTCGTGTTCCTCCTTCACCTCTCTTCCTCGCCCCTTGCTGCTCCCCTCCCACCCCGCTCGGCCCAGTCTGGTGTCTCCCACGCCATCCCTCTCCCCTCAGTTGGGCCCGTGGGGGAGTCTGCTGACACTAGGAGCCCCATGGCTAGGGGTGCGTCTGCCTCAGCTGCGGCGCCCCTCCCCCAAGCCCTGGTGCCTTAAGCACTTCAGCAACCTCCCCCACTGCAGCCGCCGCAGCCGTCACAGCAGTAGCAACAGCAGCGGTGGGGGACCATGGGCCCTGGGTGTGAGAGTACAAGCGTTACACTTCTTTCTCGTTTCTATATTTCTTACCAATTTCATTCTCCTTTTTTTCCTGATTCATTTGATCTTTATCTCATCTCATTTGGTTTCCTATTCCTCATCTTCCATTATTCCTCTTATTATAATTATATTACCAACCAGACTCGGGATGTACTGGCGCGCTATATCTAGCGTAATACTATCGTAATCCTTTAAAGACAAAAGCCTCGCATGGCTATTCGCAGGGTGATTCTATTTCTAGAAAGGTCTATTCCCTTTGGATATGATAAACGTGGTTACCTGATGTACCTTGGAAGTATAAAAGCGCCTTGTATCGATTGATTGTACAACTTTCTCTCGACCGATTCGATCGTGTAACAATTGGTAATCAGAGCTTTTTCTCACTTGGCTGCGCTCAGCTATGCAGCAGCAGCGGGAAAACCTGCCTCGAAAAACCACCAGGGGCAACTAATTCGGCGCCAATTCTGGTAAGCACCAGCTCTGCATTTTTTTTATTAACCCCCCTGCGCGTGTTTTGAACAGGATGGTGAACTTCGACAACGCCGAGGTTACCCAGCAGCTTTTCGCCCGCATCGCCGCCCTATAGGAGGAGATGCAAGCCGACCGAGAAGCTTGGTGAAATGAGTTCGAGCGAGTAACTCGACTCGCCAGCGTGTAGCACAAAACGATAACGGCACCGACGCAGCAGTCGCAACAGTTTCTCGAGGCTCCGAAGCCGCGCCCACCTGAGCTGTTCGATCCGAGCGATCGGAACTCCGGCAGCCGCAGATGGATCGCAAGTATGGGGATCAATTTCGTGGGGGAAAATGACAACCCCACGACCGATCTTTGCCTAGGACAGCTGCCGAGAAAAAATCTGACTTTGCGAAAAATGATTCTACTAGGACGGGAAAACTCCTGGAAGACCCGAGAAATGATCGGGATTCATTAAAGTTATCTTGTAATTAATGAAAAATTATGATTCTTGAGGGGCTAGAGCCTTGGAGAAATTTTGGGAGGGACTCCAAAAGAAGCATAAATTGTGGAGATCGTACTAGTACCAGAGAACTTGGGGAAATTTTTAAGGAGTGTGGAATGGAGCTGACGTTTCCACGGAGTCAACGTCCTCTCCCGACACCAGCCCACAACCGAGTACCCGTTCCCCTGGGAAGATGTCGGTGGAGCTGAAGCAGCTCAAGAGGAAGCTGGGGGCCTATAGGAAGCTGCAAAAGCCCCGAACTCCTTTGGATGCATCCAGTTCAGCAACTTCTGCATCGACGACACGAACAGTCGTCAAGGAAACTCAGGGTCATGGAGAAGAGCCTTTCTCCACGCAGCCTTGGCCAACTGCCAGCTCGGGAGTATATAGCAACGAAAAGGTGTGTACGGAATATTGAGATGCACCCTATGATCGTATTGATGAAAGTATCTTTGGGTACTCCGAGCAACGCCTACCCCTCGTGCTCAAGGTCATCTACAAAGGGCTATGCCTCCAAGCACTTATGGATAGCGATTTCTCATACACCATATGCGACAAGGCAGCAAGTTACCAGTCTACGGCGAAATAGTGTTACACCTACAAATCGGACCTCTGCGTTGAAGACCTGCCCTCTCCATCACCAATATAAAAGGGTTTGACTTGATCTTTGGGCGAGATTTCCTTAAAAAGTTCAACCCCGAGATCAACTGGGTCAACCGCAAAGCGAGCATCTACAACAAGGGAAGGAAAGTCCAACTACCAAACTGGGACGACACCGGAGATATCCCAGTGGAGACACTCGCCCGATTCAAGAAGGACGTGAAATGAACAGACACGGGGTTCCTGGCAATAGCAACAGATGCAGAAGTTGGCAGAAATAAAACCTCAGAACCTCCAGAAAATACCATGGAATTACTGAAAGAGTTCCGAGACATTCTTTCCGACGACCTCCAAAACCACCCACCGCCATACCAAACGCACCAACACGAGATCATGGAAAAACTAGGTTCAAAGCCGACCTTCCGAGCACCATACCGACTCAACCCTATAGATCTAGCCGATATGAAGAAACAGATCGAGAATCTCCTCGAAAAAATACTCATCTGACCATCTACCTTACCGTACGGTGCCCCACTAGACTTCACACCGAAACCGGACGAAAGCCTGCGCATGTGCATCGATTGTCGAGCACTCTACAAGCAGATAATAAAAAACAAAATACCCGATTCCACGTATCGATGATCTGCTTGACCAGGTTCTAGGAGCCACGGAGCTTTAGGGAGCCACGGTATTCTCCAAACTGGATTTGCAGTTCGGATACTGGCAGATACGCATGGCGGACAACTCCATCTACCAAGCTGCCTTCCGAACTCGTTACGGATCGTACGAATATCTGGTAATGCCATTCGGACTCACCAACGCCCTGTCAACCTTCCAAGCCGAAATAAACCATATTTTATGCCCACTACTAGACAATATTCTCATTTACTTGCACGATATGAAGCAGCACGTTGAACATCTGCGATGTGTCTTAAAAAAACTTCGACGAGAACGCTTCTACATCAACTTATCCAAGAGCGAATTCTTCCTCAAGTAGGTCCAACTCCTAGGACAAATAGTGAGTGCTGAAGGGGTCCAAGTTGACCCAAAGAAGATAGAAGTCGTATGCACGTGGAAGACACCCGAGAACGTGAAGGAGTTATAGCAGTTCCTAGGCTTCGCCAACTATTACAACAGGTTCGTGCCACAGTATGCAAAAATTGTCACACCACTGACGAATCTGCTAAAGAAGAACACGCCCTACCAATGGGAACCAAAACATCAAGAAGCTGTGGAGCAGCTGAAGCAGGCACTCACATCCACACCAGTGCTCATCTTGTCTGATCCGGAATGCGACTACGTCATCGAAGTTGCCGCTAGTGACCAGGCCGTAAGAGCAGGCTTAATGCAAGACCAAGGGAAAGGACTGCAACCAATCGCCTACCTCAGTAAATAATTACAAGTGTCAAAATTGAATTACCCAATACACGACAAGGAGACACTTGATATTGCCATCACCTTCAAGACATGGAGATGCTATCTCAAAGGACGAAGAACGACCGTTTAGACTGATAACTGCAGCCTGAAATATTTGAATACACAACCAAACCTCTCCAGGCGACAGGTACGGTGGATTGACTTCCTCAAGACGCACTTCCACTACGACATTGTGTACGAACCCGGGCACAAAAACAAAGCAGAAGCTTTCAGCCGACCTGCACACGTTGCCGCTCTCCAGGTCGAAGGAATAATCCATTTCTCAAGGCACTCTTCACACACGGTTACACCATCAACCCCGAGATTCCCTTGGCAGAGAAGCGACACATACTCCAGTGGGGCAGCGACCTTGTGACCGGAAAGGATCCACCAAAATATGGGTACCCAACTACCCACATTTGCGTCAATTACTACTCCGAAAATACCACGATGTCCTATACGTCGGTCACCTCGTACGACACATGTTAGCGGATGAAGAGCAGTAAGCAGAAGAAAGCACGACTACTACAACCTCTTCCTGTCCCAGAACAACCATGGCAGGTGGTTGGCTTGGACTTCATAATCGGGTTACCCACTTCCACTAACGGATATAATGCAATCCTTGTCGCCATCCACAAATTCTCCAAAATTGGACATGTCATCCCGACACATACGATAGCACACACCTAGGAGATAGTGTAGCACAGCTCTTCCTCCACTACATCATCTCCCAACAAGGCATACCAACCACACTCATCTTCGACCGAGATCCTACGTTCACCAGCAAGTTCTATAAAGAACTGATGTCTCTACTCGGGACCAAGCTCGGCATGTCATTTGCATACCATGCACAGACACACGGACAAATTGAATGCCTCAACCAAATTGTAGAGCAAATCCTCTGCACAGCATGCAAGGACGGCACCTCTAAATGCGAATTGCACCTACCCATCTTGGAGTTTGCCTACAACGATGCCACTTACGCCGCTACCGGACAGACACCATTTTTTCTTTATTATAGACGCAACCCGCTTACCCCACAGAAACTGACGGTACCACCCACAGTCCAGCCCGCACATGATTTCATCACCACCATGCATCAGCTCTGGGATCGAAATCACAAGCGCCTTATCGATATTCAGCAGCACCAAAAGCACCGGGCCGATCGCCACCGCAATGACCACACCATCACTGTGGGATACCGTGTCTTACTCGACACCCGCAATCTGGACATCAGCCATCTCCCCTCTAAGCTTTGACCTCGCTTTTGCGGGCCTTCCCTCTTTGAAGCCCAGGTTGTAAGAAATAGAGTTGAAAGGATTGATTAGGTAAGGAGCCGAAGGCTCTACAAGTACATGGCAAGGTGAGAGAGAATGGATGAAGGGGGGAATTGGAGGGAATCCCCACTGAAATCTTCGCAACCTCGAATTGGGTAATTGGAGATTGGGGGGATCACAATTGGGTGAGGTTGGGATTTTGTGAGTACACCCCAACCCACTAGAACATTCCTAACCTAAACTAGGATATAAAAGTACAAATACAAAAGTGGGATTTACAATCTACAGTATATCTAACACACCCCCATAGACTGCAAACCCGGTCAAAGGGCACATAGCCCCATGGAATGAAGAAGGCGATGGTGGTCAGCCTTGCTGAGAGCCTTGGTAAAGAGGTCGGCAAAGTTGCAATCTGTAGCGATGTACCGTACTGTCAGTTGGTCACCCTGAACAAGTTCTCGGATGAAGAAATGACGAAGTTCGATGTGCTTGGTGCGAGAGTGGAACACAGGATCCTTGGTGAGGTGAATCACGCTCTGGTTGTCACACTACAGGGTGGGCGATTGCTGGGGGTAGCCTAACTCAGCGAGGAGAATGGAGAGCCAGCGTGCCTCTTGAGCAACCATTGTGCCTGCGTAGAGCTCGTCCTCGCAGGACGACAGAAGACTGCAGAGCACCAAGTGGAACGCCAGCTGATGACTCTGCTACCAAGGGTGAAGCAGTAACCTTGGGAGGAGCATCTATCAGTCTGGTCATCGGCCCATGAGGGGTCTGTGTATCCCTCGAGCTTGACTGGAGAGGTACCACCAAGAGTGAGGATGTAAGACCTGGTGGCTTGTAGATAGCGGAGGACCCTCTTGGCTGCAGACCAATGCGAGGCAGTGTAGCATCAGGGGGAGACGTACCAAGAGAGGACACTAACCGAATAAACCAAGTCTGGTCGAGTGCACATCATGGCATACATGAGTGAACCGACAAGCTCAGGGTATGGGTCCTTGCAGGTGTCAGGAGAAGGAATCAGAGGGGCCATAAGTTGATGCTGTAGTGGGAGTGGAGTGGAGATAGAGTTACAGGAGTCCATGTCAAACCGCTTGAGAAGGTTGTCGATGTAGGACTCCTAGAAGTGGGTGATCGTGCAAGCCTGGCGGTCACGAATGATCTCCATCCCCAGGTAGTTCTTGAGGTCACCAAGATCCTTCATGAGAAGGGCGGAGCTAAGAGCAGACTAGACAGCTGCCATGTCGACTGGATCTCTGGCGACTAGAATGAAGTCGTCGACGTAGACGAGGATGTAGAAGGGCTCGGAGGAGTGACGAACAAAAAGACTGGAATCTGAGGCGGAGGGATGGAAGTCAAGTGCGAGGAGGACTTCCTTCACCTTGTTGTGCCACTCACAAGGAGCCTGCTTGAGGCCATACACTGGGCGCTTCAGCTTCCACACTGTGTTGGCAGGGTAAGTGCCAGGAAACCCCGGTGGGCGTTCCATGTGAACATCCTCCTTGAGCTGGCCTTGGAGAAAAGCGGAGGAGACGTTCATGGACTTGATCTCAAAGTTGCCGCGAGCGACTATATCAAGAAGAGCGCAGACAGTCGGGAGCTTGGCCATGGGCGAGAAGGTTTCAAGACGTTGAGATACTCCTTCTTGGTGAAACCTTTCGCCACGTATCGTGCCTTGAACAGTGGAGCTTTGCCTGGGAGTTGTTTGACTCGGAAGATCCATTTTTCGCCGACGATGTTAACACCGGAAGGGGGAACGACATCGTCAAAGCTGTTGTTGCGAATGAATGCCTCGACACCTCCACATCCATAGCTGCCTTCCACTTTATAAGGCCCCGAGAGAGTTTCCTCTTTTGTGCGAGGAGTCGGAATGGTCGGGTTCTCGGTGAAGTTGAGGGAAGGGCAGTCAGTAATGTTGGGGAAGATGTGAGAGAGAAATTGGCAGACCGCGTTAAGGTCAAACAACTCCTCATGCCTGTCCTCCAGAAGTGCATGGGGGGGAGCATTGATGGAGGGGACATCACCCCCAACAGGAGGAGGCGAAGTGACCAAACACCGAATGGAGAAGGCGGCTGGTCCCCAAGCGAGAGGCGGAGCCGGTCCCTTGGAACGAGTGCGACTAGAGACCGGAGACGAAGGTGGTTGCGGTGGGACAGGAGGGACTGGGCGCCTCTGGTAGGTGACTGGTGAGCCGGTCTCCACGCGTGGAGAAGGCGCAGCAGGAGGAGGTGTCGCTGCGGAGGATACCAGGGAGGCTGGATGAGACACGCCAAACGGAGAAGGCCTTGGAGAAGGGGCAGCTGCCGGAGGTGGGGCATCGAATTCTGCCCAAACAAGCGTCGGGGGAGGTGGAAAGGGAGTTTCTCATCGAAGACGACATCACGGCTGCGAATCAGCTGTCTTGTGATGGGGCTGAGGAATAAGGAGTCTGGGGAGTCGGAGTTGTGCCCCAGGTACATGCAGGTCTGGGTTTTGGGAACAAGCTTGCCACCTTGCTTCCTGTGCGTGTGGGGGTTGAGCAACACATACGCAGTACACCCCCAGACGCGTAGAGAGCGGGCGGAGGGCGTGGCCCCAAGCCAGAGAGTGGTAGGTGTGGTGTCGGACCGGTGGGGATGCGGATAAAGATTGTAGAGGAGTGCCGCATGGTAGAGGGCATATCCCCAGAGTGACCGTGGTGCGTTGGCGTGACTGAGGAGGCAGCGAGCGATCTGAACCAAAGTGTGGTTGCAACTCTCTGCAATGCCATTCTGCGGTGGGCTTTCACGGAGCATGAAGGTTTGCCGAATCCCTTGGGCTGCGTAGAAGTTATCGAGTTTGCCATTGCGAAACTCTCCCCCGCCATCAGAATGGAGGCACTTCAGAGGAGTGCTGAACGTGACTTGAGCCTGGTGCACCCATGCCATGATGAGGTCAGGTGCATCCACCTTGGGATACAGGAGGTGCACGGAAACATACCGCGAGTGGTCATCGACTAGTGTAAGAAAGTACCGATGACTGCCTCAGGATGCGACTGGAGATGGGCCCCAGACATCCATGTGCACTAGGTCCAGCGGAGCAGCTGCGACGGATGGGGAGGAAGGGTGCGGCAAAAAAGAAGTTTCTTGGAAGCGATGTCGGCAAGCGTACGGAAGTTGGGGTGACCCAAGCGATGGTGGTCGAGGATAGCAACTTGGGACATGCTGGGGATAAGTATAGCAACTCCCACTGCAGTCTTGTTCAGGAAGCGGTCTTCGAGGTAGAGCCAAATGGCGTTGGCAGACGGGTAGTTATGGTAGGTTTTGACGAGTTCTGGAAGAGTGGTGCCCATGAAGACACTAATGACCGCA